GAATGGGAATACTGGTTTTCATGCAGCTTTACTGATTGTGTCTCTCCCTTGACTGCTTCTTTTTTAGCTCCAGTCTACCTCATATATGTGCAAAAATATTTTATTTCTGTGCTCCTGTGCTGTAAGTTCTATACCTTCCTCATTTCAAAAAAGACTCCAAGAGGTATCAGTTCAGTTTCCTCCCTATTCTTGGCCTTCTGGTTCATGCTTTCGATTTGTTTCTTGTTGAGTGTGGTATATGTCACTATGACTTTCTATGGTTCATTTCGTTCTGTGCAAAATGATGGCTAGATATTGCTACCAGTACCTGCAGATGGGGGATTCTGATCTGATAATTATTTTGCGTACTTTATCAGAAACAGAGGTCCTAGATCTGTGTAACTGTTGGAGCATGTGTAGAACTCCAGGGGTTAAAATCTGATTGCAGTTATAGCAAGTTAAATTATGTAGGAAGGAACAGAAAAAACTGGAACAAAAATCAGGACCATTCTCAATGAATTTAGCTGAGAACCATGCACAACTGTTTTTGTAGATGCTATGCTATATCAAGATACTTATATTCTGTGTGGTTTGGAGCTATTTCTTCTTCTTTTTGTTCCTTATATCCAGACAGAGTAATTTGTGGGTGACTTAAGGAAAACCGAATCACTTGTCTCTGGTCAGTTAAAAATGCAGGTACCAAACTTTTCAGTTCTATGTGTGTCATTTCTGTGCATTTAAATGGGTAGGTAAGTACACATTAAGATCACTGTAAGCCTTTCAGCCAAACTTCTCACAGCTCTTTGTTCTCTCACTCTTCTCAGCCGTAAAGATTTTTCTGATATCTTTTCTTTACTCTGACTCACTGATTACACATCACTAATGGGTTTTTCTGTGCTTCAGTTTCTCCATCTGTGAAATGAGGAACATCTATATTTGCTGTTGTGTGAAGGTAATAGATGTATTAGAAATACATCAGCTCGTTGTTGCTGTGTTCCCATTTGTAGGCAGCTCCTTAAATCAAACCACTGAGGTACTACTTCACCATGTTCTGAGGCACTGTAATTTGGTGTGTTCAAATACTGCTGCTATTCTGGACTATCCTGAAAGAAGGGGAAAATACATTCTTATCTAACTTTTAGAGAGGTAAACATTTCCTGGGCAGAAGGTGTCTGGGTTGCTTGTAAATGGGGTAAAATATGAAAAATTTAGAATATCTTGGGCTACTGTTTTATATCAGAAAGAGCAGATGTAAAATGATACAATATTGGAAATTGATGGTTGTTGTGGTTTCTCTTTGTGTGTGTGTGTACACTCTTGGTACTGCTTTCAGTAACTTATGAGAATTATAGAAGCAATGGAGAAATAGGCCACTGGATTCGCCCATGAGGTATAGATTAAGACAGTCCTTTACAGAATCACAGAATCACAGACTGGTTGAGGTTGGAAGGGACCTCAGGAGGTCACCTGGTCCAACCCCCTTGCTCAAGCAGGGCCACCTACAGCTGCTTGCCCAGAACTGTGTCCATGCACCTTTTGAACATCTCCAAGGATGAAGACTCCACAACCTCCCCGGGCAACCTGTGCCAGGGCTCAGTCACTGTTATAGTGAAAACAGTAAAAAAGTGTTTCCCGATGTTCAGAGGGAACCTCCTGAGTTTCAGTTTGTGCCTGTTGCCTCTGGTCCTGTCACTGGGCACCACTGAGAAGAGCTGTGCTCCGTCCTCTTTGCACCCTTCCCTTAGGTATTTATACACCTGGATGAGATTTCCCCCTTGAGCCTTCTCTTCTCCAAACTGAACAGTCCCAGCTCTCTCAGCCTGTCCTCACAGGGAAGGATGTTCCAGGCTCTTAATCATATCAGTGGTGCTTTGCTGGACTCACTCCAGTATGTCTGTGCTTCTTTTGTACTGGGGAGCCCAGACCTGGACCCAGCACTCCAGGTGTGGCCTCACCACTGCTGAGTAGAGGGGATGGATCACCTCCCTCGACCTGCTGGCAACACTCCTCCTAATGCAGCCCAGGACCGGATACCATTAGCCATCAGAGACAGGAGCGCAGTTGTGGCTTCACATATTCCTGACCTGTCAGGGAAACTCCCTGGACCATCCCATTTCCACCTTAATTGTTGCAAGAAATTGCTGGTTGGAGGTGAAATCTCTCAGCCACTCCATCCTTCAGGCCTAACAGGTGTTAGCTGTAGCCATCTTCCAAAACAATAAATATTATAGATGAATGGAAGTGTGTCTCTTATGGTCACATCAGTGTACAAGAAATTCCATTAATGAAAATTTCAAAAAGGTTGTAGCCCCTGCTAACTGAAACCTCTGGTGTGGATTTTAAAATCTCAACTTCCTTTTTCCCACTAAGCAATTCTCCCCCCAGTCAGCCACATCATAGATTGGAAAGCATATGGTTCAACTGAGACAGGAGGAAAAGAATCTCAACAGCCTCCAAGATTTTTAAATACTTGCTGTCAATAACTGCAACTACAAATAAACCAAGTCAGTAATATTATGCTTTCTTGTTTACAAAGAACATTTTAGAACATATTTAGAAGCTTGAGGCAACCTCTACTCACAGTTTAGGTGGTAGTGGTGGTAAGACATGGGGTGGGAGGTGGCACAATCCCGTCGGTGCATGGGTGCCCGCTCCTTACGGGAACGTGTAGCATGCTGTCCCATGGGCGGGTTACATAGGTGGCCTGCACTCAAGTGCTTGCTGCCCGTTTGGACTATGAGTCTGGTCTTGAGGGCAGCCTTGGCAAAACTCAAAAAGTTGATGCTGTTCAGGCTTACCCTTGAAGGCTGAGCAAACAAACTCAGAAAATACCCTATGAACTCAGCCTGGTCCTCTCAAGTGTGTACAGGGAGCTAATCTGACATGGTTGTTCATCATGACTATTCATGGTCTGTGGCTGTTAACTGGCCTCTTTCCTGTGCAGACAGAAAGAACGAATGTCTTGGTTAGCCCCTGCTTCATGGGAGCCTTTGCACTTGCTCATTTAGCCAAAGCTATGGGGAGAACCTCTCAAGGAGAGTATTCTTCCTTTCCTGTCTCCCTCCTGCAACTGCCTCAAAGTCTCTGAAGCACAGTGAGTCTGTACTCATCTCCTTTGTTATCCGCCTTCAGACTAATCTTTAGACAGCACTATTTGCAGCTGAGTCTGGCTGTTCACCAGTAAGTGAATGTTATCCAAATTTTGGTTCAAAATAGGATGAATTACAAGCATTTCAGTTTCAATTTCAGTGTCTGTTCGTTTTTCTCCAAGCTGCATAATTGAGCTGCCATTTCTAAATCATTGTTCCCAGCTTCTTGTCACTTAACATCTCTAGCATTTCAAGCAGATTAATCTTGAATCCTTTATTGTGTAACTACATTTCAGATGGAAATAGTAGCAAATCCTAGACGCTCTGAATCTCATCTTTGCACCGTATGTAGCCAGTGTTATTAATGCAAAGTAAAAACCAAGCAAGAATGAGCGCCTAGTGCTCACTTGCATTGAGTGGATGCAGGTGGGTGGAACAGGGAATGGCGTCTCCTTCCGTACAGAATGCTGAGCGCATGCCTACCTAGCAGTGCAGGGAGACATCATGCTGTTAACAATCTGCTGTGTGTGGCAATTGCTGGATTTCCTTCTTGGAGATGAAGGGGACTTCTATTTGACTTCTTCCAGATCCTCTGACTTTATCTATTCTGTTATTCAAATGATCCTCATTTGGATGGGAGGCTATGGTTAGCGCATAAATACAAGTTAGAAGAATTATGGTAAAAATTCAGCCTGGCTGTATGAAACTATGAAACGTGTTCATCAAGGAGGAATGCGGGAAAACTGAGTACTGTGATGCACATAGCACCAACAGCCTGCTCGGGAATTTAGCAAATCCATAGGTAACAAAACATGGTATGTCAGTACCAAATGGTGAATTTAGTTTTCTTTTATAACTTCAGTTTCACTTTTTTTTTAAAAGCAATTCTTCCATTGTCTCCTGTCTGTTGTTGCAAATACAGCTGCTGAAAAAAAAAAACCAACCAAAAACAACCCACCATGACCTGGACAGGGCCACTTCAATCCTAGATCCTCTATTACTTGGTAACAACGCTGAAGTCATGAAGGGACAGAGACTCGAGAGATTTAGAATTACCCCATAGGATCAGTCTGCCTCAGATAAAATAGGGATTAAAATGGTAGAGATGAACTACGGGGTTTAGGAGGGTTTCAGACTGAGATTGGTGAAGGTTTGGATTTCAGCTATGGAAGGAAACAGGACGTAGAAGAGGCCTGACTGGGGTTTTCTCTTTCCTCTCAATCTTCTCTGTGGGGTTGACAATCTCTGCCTCCTGCTGTCACGCTGCACTTGCACACACGGTCTCTTGTGACCTCCCGATCCCAGGTGTCCCTGCAGCCGCTCGATTTTACCCCCATCACTCTCCACATCATTCCCTGCTCATCTTCCTGCACGTTCAGATCACCGACAGGGGAGGAAAACAAACAGCGACAAAAAAAAAAAAAAAAAAAAAAAAAAAAAAAAGTAAAGCTGGCCCTGGAGATGAGGGCTGCCTCCTGCTGCGGTGGCAGCGGCGACGCAGAAGGACGGCGCCCTGCTGCCTGCTGGTGCTGGAGAGGCGGCGGCTGCCAGACCCGGGCGAGCGCCACCACAGATATCCCCCGTGGGGCGCTTTCCGGTGTCACCCGCGCCTGAGGCTATCCCCCGCGGGGGCACTTTTCCTCAGGGACAGAGCCCGTTTACCGGGGTGCGTGTGTGTGAGTGGGTGGGTGGGTGTGTGGGGTAGGGGGGGGGGGGGCGGGGGGACCGCCCTCTCTCCTCAGCGCCGCGCCGCGGCGGTTGGGCGGCGGCGGCGCCGGGGGCCGGCGGCAGGTGGCGCTGCCGCGGCTCGCGCCGGCGGCCCGGGTAACGGTCGCGGTCGCGGCCGCCATTTGCTGGGGGCCGGGAGCGCGGCGCGGTGCGATGAGGTGCAGAGCGGAGGGCGGGCGCCGCTGTCTCTTCGGCCGGGAAAGCTTTCAGGCTGCCGATAGCAAATCCGGCGAAACGCGAAAAATTTATTTTCTGGCTTTGAAGCAGGGAACTTTTCAAGAAACTGACACCTGAGCTGCTCGCGCTTGTAGAGGGATGATGATCAGTGCTGAGTTAAAAATCCAGTGTTTTTTTTAATACAGATATTAAGCACCGACTTTTGTTATTTTCTGTAAACTAAAAGTGAACCACCCGTTTTCATTCCTCACAACCTGCAAAGGTGAGTCAAAAAGTGGAGAAAACAGCCTCTGCACAAGTTTGAGGAAATTCATGTTCAGTATGCAGGGTGGAAATGATGACAGCATTAAAATCCTCTTGTCCTTGTGCTGCCCTTCCCCCCTGCCGACTTCTTGTCATCTTTGGGTATTTCTGCTTGTCAAAACTGGTTTCAGTTGGGGATATGCGTTGATAATGCTGACTAAGTGGAAACCAGTTCACGCACATTGGCCTGGGTACTCACATAAAATCGTAGTAGATTCAATATGGGGACAAGCCTGTGGAAGGATCTCTGGCAGAGCTGTTTGCCTCAATAGGGATTTGATTCAGCTGGAGATTTTTAATGTAAGTTTTGCTGAGACTGGGCTTGCAAGTGCCTGATGCTAATCTTTCTGGTTGGCATTAGCTGTGTGCCAAATGGGACGGTATGTGTTTGCATTGTCATTTCGAGACCTCAGGTAGAAGCTGGTCCAAGGGAGATTAATTCTGCCACCGACGATATTGCAGTCAGGATGCCACCGTCTCTGACTGGAGAAACTGGCAAGGACATACCACCACCTTGAGGCTTTGCAGCAGGCATCCTGCTGATGTCTCTCCATCTATCTGTCTTCTGAGGGGTGGAGTGCAGTCAGGTTGTACTTGTCAAAGAACACTGGGTTTTTTGTAAGAGCACTGTTGACATTTCTACTGGTTTTCCATAGTTTATCAGCAGACCTGAAAATGGGTAACTGGGTTAGGGGGAGAAATGGGAATTATCTTTTACTGGTTTAGTATTAAAAATCTTGAAAATGTCAACCACCTTGGTAAAGAAGGTGAGACTTCTAACTTTAAGGAGTAAACTTCAAAATAAAGGTTTTTTTTTGATGCCACAGCTGGAAGTGAATTAGCAGTAAGAAATGTGTATTTCAGAGCAGCCCAAAGTTATTAGGAAGGAGGGAATTTAAATAAGGGTCATATATTAATTAGCTCTAATTTCTAGTGTCTTCTGTTTTGTATAAAACTGTCTAGAAAGTAGCTGTTTTAAAACGAGTCTTGTGTTTCAGTTCTATGCACTATTCCACGTGCTTGAACTATACGTGTAAAAGGACACGAGATGAAAAATGATGGCCAGATTTATCAATAGACTTCAGCAAAGCCAGATTAACGAATTATGTTTTCAGCTGTATATATAAAACTCCACATGATAATCTTAATTACTTTTTGGTGTTTTAGTTTATTCCTCTCATGACAGTTCAAAAAATAGAACATTAACAAAAAAAAAAAGGTAGCTGTTATGCCTACATTATAAAATTATTACTGTGGTTGCTTAAAAATAGATTTTATAAGATTACTGTAGACTTGTCAGCTGACTGTTTATTGTAAGTTCCAGTACTGACCATGGAGTATAGAGGATGCCCACCTTTCTGTAGGCCTAAAGGCTGCCAGAAAAAAGACGCAGGAACTTAGGGTACAATGCAGTATCAGTCCTTACCTTCTCTGACAGAATCAGAAATACTTTGTTACCATGGTAGAGATAATAGTTTTAGATTTCAACAAGTGCATGCAGGTGCAGGGTGCTCCTGTCATCTCATTCAGGTGAATCTGCCTTGCAATGCTATGTCCTAGCCTCAAATTGCGATTTTCAGCTAGTATTTCAAGAACAGCTGTCATAATAAGGCTGCTTTTTAACTGCAACGTAGCAGAGGCATACATTAACACTAATGTCCCTTGGTGGCAATAAGATTATTAACAAATCGACTCAAATCGTTTCAAGGCATTCTTCCACCTCTTTAACCTGTTGAAAAATGTTCACCTCTTCTATTTGAGAATTATTTTTCTTTCACTAGAGGGCACTATTAAACAGAAAATACTGTATTTTAGCTCGCAGATGAGAAAAGTGACATCCGGTGCTTTCAGTTGCAAGAAGTTCTGAGAGAAATTCAGCTTTAAGCAACTGATTTTAACTCGACATTTTTTTTTTCTTCTTCTAACCTGTACTGTCACTTTACCGCCCTTACTCTTCTCCACTGGGAAAGCCCACTGGAATCATGTCAGCTAAATATTAGACCTATTTCACTGTTTCATGCATTTAAACTATAGCACGTCAGCTTGAAAAAAGGCGGTGATGCCAAAAGGCATAGAGTGGACAGAATACTGGGCAAAGGGAATCTCTTCCACAAATACGGAGATGACTCTCTTATTTGTGAATGTTACTAATCTCTTGCTTCAGTCCCTAGTTATCCTTCATTTCAAGATCCAGTGAAAATTAGCAAGAGGCTTTCACAGTTTCATCTTGAAACTTATGCCGTTCCTATGGAAAAAAACAACATTCAACTTACGACAAATCATAAACACAAGAGGTCTGTCTAAACAGCTGTGGAATGAGAGCTGCTTGGTACAAGTTTGAAGAAACCTAGAGCTTTGACATATTTACAGCAGACTTCTTCATCCCACTGGTATTAGCCTGCAGTATGAAACACCTTTATTTTGGAAACCCATTTGTGGTCCAATGTAATTGTCTGCTTATAAAATATGGGGAAAATTTCACATACTACACCCCTTAGACTTTTTATAAGAAATGTAATAATGTTTCCAGATGCAGGGAGGAAGAAAGGTGATGACCCAAGGCATGTATTGTTGAAAACAAGGATGTGGTTTTTCCAGCACTGTCCATCTGGTGTCTTTCATAACACAGTGTTAATATAACTAAGTGTGTGGAACACCAGAAGCAAAAGCAACTGCTTCAGGAAATGCAATAATGAAACCATCTTACCAGTTTTGTTCTGAACACAGTAAGATTATAATATGTGGCTGATAGCCAACACTCAGCAGCGTCATAGAAAGCAAATAAATGAGGAAAATATATAGAGTGGTGTTGTGGTTTAACCCATCGGGTAGCTAAACACCACACAGCTGTTTGCTCACACTCCCCCAGTGGGATGAGAGAGAGAATTAGAAAAAAGGTAAAACTTGTGGGTTGAGATAAAGACAGTTTAATAGGACAGAAAAGGAAGGGAAAATAATAAGATAATATACAAAACAAGCGATGCACAATGCAATTGCTCACCACCCGCTGACTGATACCCAGCCTGTCCCCCAGCAGTGTGCCATCGCCCCCTGGCCAACTCCCCCCAGTTTTGTTGTTCAGGATGATGTCGTATGGTATGAGGTATCCCTTTGGCCTGTTGGGGTCAGCTGTCCTGGCTGTGTCCCCTCCCAGCTCCTTGTGCACCCCCAGTCTCTGCTGGCAGGGCAACATGAGAAGCTGAAAAGGCCTTGACTTAGTGTAAACCCTGCTCACTGACAACTAAAACATCAGTGTATTATCAATGTTATTCTCATCCTAAATCTAAAACACAGCACTATACCAGCTACTAGGAAGAAAATTATCTCTATCCCAGCTGAAACCTGGATAATTGAGAGCAATGTTTATGAATGCTGATTCTGAGTTCAACTGATTGACACTGGAGAAGTCATGGATCAAAGAACTATGGAGAACTGCACAGACCTATGCTTTGAAAATCATCTTGCAAGCCACTTTTAACCAAATGTATTTTTGAGTAGTCTGGCTTTCAGTAAAAAGATGAATCACTTTGCATATATTTTGGTAGTTTAAAAATATATGCTGTATATTCAACAAATTTTTGGAAGTGGCTGTGCACAAGCACTGATTTTCTTGGAAAGCAGTATGGGTTAATTATTTGCTGAGTGAGATGGAGTGCCAAGATGAGGTTTGCAGTTCCTTCTTCAGACACAGCACTGGCTAGTTTCTGTGCCCTTTTCCTTTCCAGTTCCCTTGTAGGGGGCCTGTAGAGTAGCAGTCCCCAACATCTGACTTGTGAAGGATGTGTTAGCTTCAAAACTTGTGAAACTGCTCAAACCCACGGCAAATTGAAATACTCTGTGAGCGGGCACAGGAACAACCACAAAACCATGGATGAAATGCAAAGAGTAAATTTATTTTTTTTACCTCACCATACAGGGGATCTCTGAAGCAGCAGCTGGGCAGAGGCACGCAGGTAGGGATGCAGGCACTGCAAAGCTTGGTCCATGCTAGAGGATCACTGAACCCACTGTTTTCACCTGTATTTCAGATATTTGTGCAGGCATAGTTTACCACTGTGCTTTGATCTTGCCCATGGCAGGGCAGGAATCTCAGGCATGTTCAATAGGGTGCCTTTAAGTCTTATCATAGGCCTGTATTATCTAAACACAGGTATTCTACTTGTCCAAAACACAAGGCCAAACAACAATTACTATGGTATATGTGCTTTTTGACACCCCCAGCTGCAAGTCACTTGAGCGTGTTTACAAATCTCCTCACCAATCTTCCCTTATTTTCCCACAAATACTAAAACTGAGGCTGAGGAGGAGAGTGCAGCTAGATCTTCCTGCAGTTTGCTTGCTCCGTGTTGTGGCCTGCACAGTTGCCAGTGTAGACGATAGTCTGTGCAAAGGTGCTCAGCTCTACTCAGTTCTACAGTGCAAAGCATGGTGAGAGCCTGCTCAGAGGGCCCCCTTGGAGTTGTACATGTGGAAGCCTATGGGCAGAGAACAGTGTTCTTTTTCTCTTGACATGGTTATGTACTGTGCTGTAAGAGGACACTGAAAGCCCCCAGCTGGTATTTGCAGGGCCATTTACTAAAAATGGATATCGAGACCCTTTAGCTTCCCATCAGATCTCAGCTGGCTGATTTGTTTGAACTTCCTGTTGTTTCTCTTAATGGTGTCTGTGACTCTAAGGCTCAGAGAAAGAAAGTAAAAAATAACTGTTCGAGAGGAAAGAAATGAGGATGAAAGATCAGACAGTTCACAGGAGCCTTTTTAAGTGGGCCACTGATTACAAAAGTGTCATAAATGCATGGTATGTTACATGGTCTCTTTTTCACTTTATGTGCAAGGTTATTTAAACGATAAACTGTGGTGCTTGGTTCTCTCTGTATATGAACACCCATAAGACTGCTCTTGCCTGACCTGTGCGTTTTTTGCACTCCTTTTGCTCAGTTTAGTGGATGAAGTTTGGGC